GTCAACCATGATATTCACAAGTTTATTTATGTATCTGAAGTAGCATCCGAACTTAATGATTAAGTCGTACCTTAGGTGTTAAACTAAGAACAGACGGCAATTCTGTCTATCTTCCCAGTGCAGGGATAGAGCGATGCGCTCATTGACTGCTATGCTACCCCATCGTAGGTGCCATTCTTGTTCACAACTTTTGGTTATTTTTTCACGGCTTAACTCTACTGTAGGCTCGAAGCTATATTTATTTCCAGAATGGCAATCCGAGAGGGAGGTACCTCAGCTTTTTTTATGAAAAACTCTCAAGTTCGGTTTAACGTTGTAATTTAAAGTTAAAAAAAAAACGAACAAGTAATTTTTAAGCAAAAAACTAAACCGACCTCAATTCTCATATATATATATATATATAGGGTAAAAAACGAATTGTAGAGATCGGTTAACGTGGTCAAAAGTTATGCGATAACATACATAAAAAAAAATATTCCGACGAATTGATAATCTCCTCCTTTTTACAAGCTTATATTTTTTCGAAGTCGGTTAAAAAAATTATTCACAGAATATAATAGATTTTATTTTAAAAGAGGTGCTCATTGGGCCGAAAGCATAAATTTAAGTGAAAGGTTTGAAATTTTAAGAAAAAGCAATTGCTTAGTTTTTAGGCCAAAGGCCCATTATCTCGAAGTTTTAAAATATAATCGAACTACAACTTAATAGGCCATTTCAGTATTAAAAATCAACCTTTATTTTATAGCTTGTCATTATAAATATTACAAAATATAATTATGTACACTGCCGGCAAAAAGTATTGGCACAGAAAATTGTTCACAATATATACAACAATTTTCTTTTCTAATATTTTTCCGCCATGATTTCTATAAAAATATGGTTCATTCTACAACAAAAAACATAAAAATATAATTCCTAAACTTTGTGCCAAACTCATGAAAGTTCCGCAAATTTTCATGCAAAATTTTCAACTTTTTAATCAGATTTAAAAAATTTTTTTTTGGTAGCCAATTCAGTTTTATTATAATCAAGTACAAGTTTTAAGTAGCTAGGAATTACAGTTGATATTTGGCAATTTTTTCACGCAGTTTCTTCCATACAAAAAATTTTTTTCGAAAACGCGTTATAGGAAGAAAATGCAAAATACCTTCAACAAAAAAAAAATCTCAAAAATCAATGCCATTTTTGACTAACTCTCAATTTGCATTTTTATACCCGGGCGCACTTGTGCACAAGGGTATTATAACTTCGTTCACATAACGGTTGTTTGTAACAGGCAAAACGAATCGAGATAGATATAGACAAATGTATACATAAATGATCAGGATGAAAAGAGAAATCGATTAAGCGGTGACTGTCTGTCCGTCCGTCCGTCCGTCCGTCCGTCTGTGCACACGATAACTCGAGTAAAAATTGAGATATCTTAACGAAACTTGGTCGTGGACTTCTTTTGGGCGTAGGACGGATGGTATTGAAAATGGGCGAAATCGGACAATAACCACGCCTACCTCTCATATAACGGTAATTTTCAGAAATACGAAAACTGCGATATTTTGGTAACTACTGAAGCTAATTCACTCAAAATTGATATTTACAATGATTTTTAGACGGAAGATAAGAATATTAAAAATTTTTGTAAAATAGGCGTAGCCACGCCCACTTATGGTTACATGTGTATATCTTGGTAACCGCTGGACCAATTTCTTCCAAACTTGGCACAGTTATTGGTCCTGGTACAGCATATCAAATGGCCAAAAAATATAAAAATCGGACAATAACCACACCCACATCCCATATGACGGTAATTTAGAAAAATACGAAATCCTCGATAAATCAGTAAATATTAAAGCTAATTTTTTCAAAATTGATGGTTGCAACAATTCTTAACAAAGAAATATGTTTGTGATAAAATTTTGTAAAATGGGCGTGGCACCGCCCACTTATGATCACATATATGTATCTCGGTAACCGTTCTACCAATTTGTACCAAACTCGGTACGGTTATTGTGCTTGCCACATAAAAACAAACCGTTGAAAATTGTTGAAATCGGACTAAAATTACGGCCGCTCTTCATATAACGGTAAATTTCAGAAATGCTTGAAATTTCAATATTTAGAAATTTAAGGACGCTAATTTACTTAGAATTTATACACCCCGGCTTATCATGTAGCGGTAGCTTTCGGAAAGGTGGAAAACATATATTTAATACTTGCGCCGGGTATTTAATGTTCGGCTCCGCCCGAACTTAGACTTTCTTACTTGTTTTAGTAGAATTTAATGATGGGTTGCAAAACTGTATACTCAAAAAAAATCTAAATAATCTAATTAAAAAGTTGAAAATTTGCATGAAAATTTGCTGAGTTTTCGCGAGTTTTGCACAAAGTTTACGAATTATATTTTTATGTTTTTTTGTTGTATAATGAACCGTATTTTTATAAAAAATGGCGGAAAATTATTAGAAAAAAAAGGCTTATATTGTGGAAAATTTGCTCTGCCAATACTTTTTACCGGCAGTGTATACATTATTTAATTAATTTTGTGGGTAGCCAATCTTTTAAAAACTGTGTTTGAATAAAAACACCAAGACTTTTTGTTTCATATCAATATATTATTGTTATACTTCATCTACCTTAATAATTATAATATTTTGGCGCTTACACTTTGCTAAGTTTTTGATTGGATAAAGATGAAAGATGCACCATACACTCACTCGCATAATTTCACGTTTATAATATTTATATAAGTGTGTATATGTATTAGTGTGATTATACCGAAGTATATGTTTCATGGCTGCCTTTGAGGTGATTTCGTGACCCTCGACGTTAATCTTAGCAAACTTCTGGGACCCATCAGTTACTTATTATTACGAATTCTATATTTTGGTGTGCTAACTCAAGACCTACTTTGGTTGAGCACGATTTTAGCCACTTTACAACGTCTCTACTAAATAAATGCCAATTCTGTCGTCTTCTTTCCATATTTTATTTTTAAACCTGGGCGAGATTTCCAACCTTTCTTGCAGCATCCAGTGGTGATATATTTATGGATCTTCTGGTTGCTTCGCAGGTTTTGGTAGAAGGTCGATTTGTAAGAAAAGCCAAGATTTAATTTTTGGTTAAAGATTTGTTTTTTAGAGCTCCGATGTTTGCTTTGGTGGTGAGCTTCATGACACGGTTTTGCATATCCAGACCAGAATGAGATGATTTGCCATGTCGATAATTCTCACTGTGTTATTATCTAGTGAGCTTGTTTCTCAGCCAACTCCACGCATCCTCGGAGCATTGCATTTCTGCCTCTCTTCGTTGATTCGAAAAACTACTGCCTGGCAATGTCTCACCTAGTATGGCTCGCTTTATATGGCAATATCAATGTCCTTTTGTATAACTGTTTGCTTAAGTAGTTCCTGCGTTGATTTGTACGTACATACATATATATGGTTGTATGTGTTTATGTAATTAAATGGCCTTGGCAGATATTTTTTTTACTTAATGAATTTATTTTTCCATGAAAAATGTGTCTGCATTTGCATGGGAAAGGAAACTAGTTTTTTATATGAAACATGAGGCACCCTAATAAAGAGTCCGTAGGTATAATTAAAATAGATTAACACTGTTCGCAAATAATTATAAAGAAACTGATAACCAGCAAACAAACAATATTTATACAGTTTGCGCACAATGAAGACCCAACACGCAACACCTGTGTACCGAGCGATGCTAACCATAAAAAAATATACGCAGATATAAAGATAAATCGCTGAATTTGTACGTATGTACATACATACATTCGCGCTCATTGTGTCAGTCCTGACAGCTGTGATTGTAATTCCCTCACTGTGCGTTTATTTCCGCAGCTACATTTAACAAGTTTTTGTTTTCTTACTTTTGCTACATTTATTTAATTCAACTGCCAATCAGAGTAACTATTTAGTTGAGCTGTGAAATTTTGGCGCTGTATGTGACTTGAAAGCTATCAACATACATACATACGTAAATATAAAACACATGTACGTGCATTTATAGTACACATACATACATACAGTGCGACTTTTGGTACAAACAGCGGGCAAAGTGAGTGCCGCGGTGTGGCAAAGCGCAAACCAACGTAGTACGAGTCATTAAGTCTGCCAAAAATAGTAGTGGTGTGAGTGATGGTACGTGCAGAGCGGGCACAGTGATGAATCAGTGTTTGGGATGCACAACCATTTGCAGACGTAATTTGGCGCTTTTGTTTGTTTTCGCTGACAGACAGATGTCAGACGCTGTGCCGAGGCGGCGTGATGTGAGGAGAGTAGCCACCAAATGCAGTTTGGTCGTTGAATTGCTGAGATTGCCGCAGCGTGGCAAGTGGCAATGCATGGACAGAGATTGAGCGGTCGGTCGGCGGAGGAGACGACATTTTATGAATTCCCAGCGAGATGGCAGTGTTTTAAAAAGTATACATATGGATGTGGATACGAGTAAAACTGTGCACTCGCATAATGTGAGTGAAGTAATTAAAGTGCCAATTCGGCGCACAATTGCGAATAAAGCAGAAATGTGGCGATCTACAAATGCGAATGCATGTATCGGAGGTGACACAATATTTCAAACCCATCGGAGATGCGTGCGTGTTGAAATTTTTCATCAGCAATACTAAATAGAAATGTAGTTTTCCTTATTGCTTTTCATCGGTGAGCAACGTGGCGTAAGGGATTTTATGCTGCAACTTGATCTGATTGCTTATGTGTTTATATGTGTGTTTGTGTTAGCAACTGATAGGGAACGAAGAATTTTCATTTGTGACAACTTTCAATAAAATCAGATACTTGTTACCCGTATTATCATATTTTCCAACTTGTTTCACAGAAAAAAAGCGTTGCTTGTTTGCACCTGAAGTGACTGTTCACACA